TGGAAGGTGGGGCAGGCAGCAGGCGTACGCACATGCCCCCCTGTTGTGCTGCGCAGGCGCGAGCTGGCGAGCGCCCAGGCGCGGTGGGAGCTGCGGCACCAGGAGGCCTCGTCAGGAACCCTGGTGGAGTCGTTTACATTAGGGTGGCTCAACCTGGTGCGTGCGCTTGCGCTTGTGCTGCACCCCCAGCCACGCTGCGCAGGGCGGCCTTCCAGGCTCGGCACGGGCTGGGCCCACAGGTGGGCCGCGCCGCGCCGCGCCGCCCCTCACCCAAGCAAACCCTCGGTGGCGGCCAGGTGGTGCGGGCGCTTTGGACGCCGGTACTGGAGAAGCACCTGGCGGGACTCACTATGGAGCTGCTGCAGCGCGTCTTCAACGAGGTCCGCCCCGCGCCGCCGCCGTTGCTGCCGGTCCGCAGCGCCGCGCCCCGGTCCCGCCGCACCGCTTGCCTCTGCGTCGCGTGCCCAAGCCTGCGCGGGCGTGCATGTGCACCAGGCGCGGGGAATGAACAGGCACGCGACTAGGGCCGTTCCGGTGGCTGGACAAACGGCTGCTGCCACCCTTGGCATGCTTCCCCGCAGATGCTGGAAAAGCAGGGCGCCAAGCGGCCTTGGAAATACATATCGGCTCGTAAGAGACCTCCGCTTTTTGCAAGTTCAGGCCACAGCTGTTTGTGCCGCCGTTGCTCTGCATGGTTGACCAGTCCCAGTCGCTTGCACCGCCCCCCATGCGGGCCGTGCCTCATCACCGCTGACGTGGCCCCGCATTGATGTGCCGCGCTCTCGCTTTCATCGCCACAGTCGCAATCGAGGAGTTTGGGTTCGGTTTGGTCCCCCCGTCGTTCCAGCACTGCTGCGCGCGCTACGACCCCGCGCGGCAGCTGCTGTCCTTCGCTCTTGACGCAAATTTCACATCAAGTGGCGCACAGGGCGTGGTGCGAGGACCGGGCAAGGCAAATGCAAGCGGGCCAATGGCGCGCATGGCGCCAACGGCAGTGAGACCCAGGGAGCTAGCCCACCGCGTCCTCGTGCCGCTCGCTCGTGTGCACCAGCTGCCAGGGCGCATTCTGGCTTGCGCCAACCGTGCCCCACCACCTTGTCCCAAACGCCCGTGCCCGCCTGTCCCCTGCAGGTCCTGCTGCGCATGAAGCCCCTCGGCGCCATGCTGCAGGGCCTCAGCATGCGGCTCGAGGCGACGCACATTCACATCGCGGGGCGGCTGCACATTGGCGTCGAGCTTACCAACGAGCCGCCGGGCATCAAGCGCATCCAGTATGTGAGTGCGCACACACCAGCTTTCATGTATGTCAATCAACCGTGCGTACAGTTACAGAGCGTGCTTTGTACAAGGCACACACACAGGCGTACTGGGCGCGCACACACGCACACACAACCGAACACGCCTGCGCGCACGTACAGCGGGCTGCTTGTGCGCGGGCGCTGCGCCCTGGCACACCCCTCGAGTCCTCACCCCTCAACTCAACCTCCATCCTCCAGTCCTTTGCAGATGAGCCCTCACTGGACATCTCAGCCCGGCCCCTGGGCGTATCCTCCTTCTCCAGCGAGCTGCCTGGCATCATCAACGCGCTGCGGGCGCTACTGCTGCGCGTCATACGCCGCCGCATGGTCGAGCCCAACCGGCAGTTCTTCGACATGCAGCGAATGTACACAAACCGGCACGCGCGGCGGGTGCGTGCTGCACGGCCAGCTGCGAATTGTGCGTGCAAGGACCGGGTATGGAGGCGATTGCGGGGCATGCATGCGGGCCGGGAGCCATCCAGTGGCGGCACACTGCCCAAGCCCGCGCTCACACTCCAGCCTACCCCGCTTTCCACTCCTCACGCACCAGGCCGGCGGCCCCGGCGGCCTGCTGCGCATCGTGCTGCTCTGCGGCCGCAACGTTGCGCCCCCGCCCCCGCCCGGCACGGCGGCCCCGGCCGGCGGCGCCGCCGGCCAGGACGGGCTCTCCGTGTACTGCCGGCTGCGCTTCGGCCGCCAGGTCTTGCGGACGCCGCTCGTGCACCACTCCGGCAGCCCCGTATGGAACTGGTCGTTCTCGTTGGCGCTGCCAGGGCCGGTCGGCGCCCTGGGGCCGCGGGAGGCCACCGTCGAGCTCAGCGTGTGCGACGCCAAGACGCTGGGGGAGCCGGCGGTGCTGGGCACCTGCCAGGTGGGTCTGGCGTTACCTGTATGGCTCGGCTGTCAGCTGCGGCAGCTGCCCGTCGCGTGCGCAGGTCGCCGCGGCCAATCAGAATACAAGCCGACCATCCTGCTCATCCCGCGACTGCTCCTTTCCTGCTGCAGCTGGTCCTGTCCGAGCTGGGAATAGAAGCCAATGGGGCCCCTCGGCCTGTGCTGCTGCCTCTCAGGAAAGGCACACCCGGCTCGTCGCTGCAGCTCACGGTGCAGTGGCTGCAGGCCGCGCCCAGGAAGGCCGACCCGTTTGAAGAGGCGGCGGCTCGCGCGGCGGCTGCGGTGGCAGACGAGGCAGGCACGACTGGCGCGCCGCCTGGAAGCCAGCAGCAGCAGCAAATCCAGCAGCAGCAGCAGCAGCAGCAGCAGCAGCAGCAGCAGCGAACGCAGCAGGTGGTGGCGGCGCAGCACAAGCAGTCAGCAGCGGCGGCCCCGTCCCCACCGGTGTCGGGCAGGAGCAGCGAATCTCTGAAGGCGCCACCGCACTCACTCATGGAGCCTGCAGGCCAGGCGTCGTTTGGCTCAAGTGCACCTAGCGGCGATGCAGCGGCCCCTGCGTCAGCTCCTGCGTCCCCGACCCGCCGGCTGCCGCGTCAGGGGCCGTCTTTCCACAGGCGCGTCGGGTCTGCCGGCGCGGTCGAGTCCGCGGGCATGGACCAGCGGCCAGCGGCGGCAGAGGGGGCGGTCCCGCCGCCTGCGGGCGGGCGCCGGTCAGCTCCCATCACTGGCGGCAGCCGCTCCCCCTCACCCCATGGTCCCTCTCCTCCAGCCGTCTCGGCAGCTGCGCACGCGGCTCTTGCGAGGTCAGAAGGCGGGGCTGGCAGCGGGGCGGCGCGGCAGTCGCTCCTGCGCAGGGCGTCGCCGCAGCTGCCCCCCCATGGGGGGAGGCAGTCGCAACACTTCAAACCCTCAGAAAACACGACAACAGCCCCAGAGGCTGCTGCGGCCCCGTTTGCACCGCGCCAGTCTGCCGGCGGCGGCGGCGGCCTGCTGGAGTCATGGCGAGCGTTCCGGGCCAGCAGACGCAGCAGCACTGCAGCAGGCGGCAGCGGCGGCGGGGGCGGGGAAGGCCATTCACGAGCGGCAGCGGGGGTGATGCCACCTCGGCATCAGGGACTTGAAGGGTTGCCGGGGCAGTTCCCGCTTCTCGCGCGCGTCGACTCTGACGGGCAGCTCTTTATATCCAGTCCCAGCGGCGTCGCCGGAACCACCAGCGACCGGAACGGCGCAGAGCCGGGGCCGCTGGGCAGGGAGGCGCAGGCCAGCGCCCTCCTGACAGGGACCGCGCTCAGCAGCGCCGATGGCGACGCCGCTTCCCTTTCAGGGCTGTCGCACGACGGCTCCGCCTGGAGCGTCCCGCTGGAGAAGGCAGACGTAGCGGCCGCCGCGGAGGGAGAGGGGGGCGGCGGGACGCCAGAGCCGGCTATGGTGCGCGATGGCGGTGCGTGGCACACTGCTGGCAGCGGCTTGCCGCCAGGTCAGCAGCAGCAGCAGCAACAGCAGCAGCAGCAGCAGCAGCAGCAGCAGCAGCAGCAGCAGCAGCAGCAGCAGCAGCAGCACAAGGAAATGGAGGATGGCATCAAAGGCGCTGATTCTGCAGCGGTGGCACAAGATGAGGCCACCGATACATCGCGCACGAGCCTTCGTGCGGACCTGTCTGTCCACAATTCTGAGGACCTCGCAGGGTCGTTCACAGCGCCGCCATCCTTGTTGCTGCAGCCCCCCCTCCCGCCGCCTTCCCCGCGGCGGCCGCCCTCGCCGCCAAAGCCGCAGCTGCAGCTGCAGCTCCCGCCACGGTCGCCGCCATCGCAGCGGGGGCCCGGCGGCAGCCCAACAGGCAGCGCATCGAGCACCGGCGGCGCCGCGGCCACGCCCTTGGGTCTGTTAGCCCAGGTGGCGCGCCTGCAGCGGCAGCTGGACGATCAGCGGCGCAGCAACGAGGACTTGCAGGCGCAGCTGACGTCGGTAATGGACAGGTGCGTGCAATCGCTGGTGCAGCAACAGCACAGGGCCCTTCCTGGCCCAGGAGCGGCTGCTCAAAACTGAGTGCCTGACGTGCTGTTGTGATATCTCTCAGTGGCATATCTTATCGAATGGATCTCTACGGCACGCCACCCACGGGCCTGCACATGCACTGCAGCCAGTCACACCGCAGCTCACGTTTCATCCGTGTCATGCTGCCCCTCAATATCACTGTCCCTGCGCGCGCAGGTACGACAAGCTCAAGCGCCTGCGCCACGCCGAGGGCCGCCTCGCGCTTCTGGACGGCGCCCGCCTCCTGCTGCACGGCCGCGACGGCGCGGCGCACCCCGTGCTGCTGTGGCTGGACGAGCCCGGCGCCTGCCTCCGCATCGCCGCGCCGCCCGAGGGCCGCCCCGCGCCGGCGCGGCTCAGGGGGCACCTGGCCCGCAGCCGGTCGCACACGCAGCTCAACGGATCTGCAGCGGCGGCTGCCTCGGCAGTGGCGGCGGCGGGCGGCGGCGCGAGCGGGGACGTGGTCTCTGCGGCGTGGGGCGCACTTTGCAGCTGCGGCAAGGACGATCTGGTGCTTCTGAGGCAGCTTCCTCTGGCCTCCATTGTCAGCGTGCGGCCCGGCACTGAGCTGTTTGCCCAGCTGCCTGGCCCAGGCGTCGGCGCCGCGGGCAGCTGGGCGCACATGCGGGCGATGCTGGCAGGCGGCGGCCCTGGCTCTGGGGCGTCGGGCGCGCCAGGCATGCTGGAAGGTGCGCGGAGCTTCACAATTGTATGCACGCCAGAGGCGGGCGCAGCAGGCGGCAGCAGCGGGTCGGCATACAACTTCCAGGTGCCAAACACCGGCAATGGGCGGAGCAGGGATGAGTGGCTCAATGCGCTGCGCGCTGCCAAGCGCGATCACATGGTGTAATTGTCATCGTGGCGTGGTGCAGCGATCCGCCTCGGTCGATGCGGCGCTCGGCGTTGCCGCAGCTGGTGGCTGGCCAAGTGCAGCAGCAAGTGCGTGTAGATTGGTGATGGGCGAAGGCGGCACCCGAACGCTCTGGCAAATTCTTCGTGATGGACACGCATTGGCGTGCAAGTGAACACGATCAACGACTTTGCACATACGGCCGAACAGGTCAACGGGCCGATTGATTTTCCAAAGCTCCCTGTCATGGTCGCAGCGGTCTACAGGACGACGTCAGGTGCCCATGAGACAATTATAATAAAACTTTAGGTTCTACGCATGAACCGAAGTAATACATGTCGCCATAAAGGCCGCAACAGCAGCACGCAGCAGCAACAGCTCTGGCCCTGTTAGCAGGGAATCTGCCAACACTGGTATTATACACGCACTAAAAGTCATACAGTGCTGTCGTAATCTCGATAACCTTGCTCACTTGATAGCGCGGGAAGAAACGTAGCTTGGTCCAGCACTGGGAGCGGGTTTGCGAGCAGCTGGGGCCACGATGTGCAGCAAAGAGGCGCGTAGGACGATCCTGTGGTGAGCCCTCACAGCGCACTGCCTCCCGCGCGACGAGCCGACGCTGTGTGCAACGCATCAACTCTCTTGCACCTGCACACACCCCTCTACTGCATGTGCATCTTTGCAGGATGTGTTGGGTGGTGAACATGGTGAGTTTATTGATTGTTTGCGAAGGTGCGATACAAAGCACTTGCTCGCCCGAACCAACAATGGGTTGGCCATAAAGTGCAGCAGTACGACAGCCGAGGGTGTGACCGGCTCATGTTGTATTGCGCGGCCGCCCCACTCGCCGTAGATCGTCACCAGCATCTACTACATCCTGTCGTTTGTAACAACAACAAACCTGGTGAAGGTGCGGCTTAATGGGACCGGCCCTGTTTGTTGAATGCGCTGTGCCAGCCGCACCTGGTTGCTTGCTGATGCTGACTGTGCTCACGCAGTGAAAGCACCTAGGAAGGGTGCAGCAAAAGAGGGGCAGGCGGCACAAATGTGCCCACCCGCCCTTGATTGCACCTGCCGCAAATCGCAGAGCTACAAGCTCCTGGACATCAGTGTCAGCAACCAGATATGGCATGCGCCCGTGGCGGCGGCGGTACTGGGTGGTCTGCTGGTGCTGCTGTTCAACCTGCTCAGCTGCGCGGTGCTCATCCGGTGCGTTCGCGGCCGCCGCCAGCCTTGACTTGGTCGTACGGACAGCTGATTAGCGGTCACAGGCGGGCCGCCCCTCGCGTGTGCACTCCCTTGCTAGCCTGCACTCCTGCAAATCTCAACTCGGCGCCAACTCGAATGCCATTGGCCCCGCAGCAAGTCGATCGAAAAGCGCGGTCCTGGCTTTGGCTACGGATTTGTGGTGGCAATGTGCTTCACTCTGGCGTTCTTTGTGCTGCTGTGCGGCCTCGTCCTGGATGGCTTCAAGGAGGTCGTGACCCAGGACCTGCAGGTCAAATGTGAGTAATCACATGTGCCAAGGCATCACAAGCAGCCAGTTGCTCCTGGATGCAGGCTTGCGCTAATCTGAGATGCAATGGGCGAGACAGACCGCCTGCTGTTGCAACATTAAAGTTGTGCTGGACCGCGACATCAATGTCACCTGGTGACCCCTGCAATGCCACCCACAACGTCCCTCAGTGGCCTCGAGCTGGAGCAAGTACGACACTGGCGCGTGAGTGGCAGCAGCCTGGGTGTTGACAGACGGCCCGTCTGTCAGGCTTCATAACCAGGGATTTATTGCCTGGACCCCCCCCAGCGGCGGCTGATGTTCTCGAAACCTGAGGCTCATCCCCCCGTCGTCTGACTGTCTCAGCACCCCAACTGCGCAGGTACAACGGCACCATCGCGTTTGCATACATCTGCTTCATCATGTTCATGCTCTTCTGCTTCGCGCTGCTGGTCTTCCAGACGGCCGTGTCCGAGGAGCTCGGCATTGGTGAGGGTTTTGCACGGGTGTGATTGCGGGTACTCTGGCGACCATGGCATCTGTGCCCGTCATTTGATCGCCTCTTGCGCCATGACAGACATCAGGATGTGCGTGCCTGACCTTCTTGGGGCCAGCTCAATCGCATCCCACCCCTCTGCCCCTGCCCCGCAGCCGCCGTGCGGCCCAACGCGCCGGTCAACCCATACGCTCAGATGGCCGAGCTGCCTTACCCCCCGGCCTACGGCGCCCCCGACGCGATGGCCCCGCCGGGCATGAAGGTCCCGCTGGCGGGCGTGCCCCAGGGCCCCATGGTGCCGCAGCAGATGCAGATGGGCATGATGATGGGCGCGGCGCCGCAGCAGGGCGGCCTTGCCGGGCTTGGCGCGGACAACGTGGTGTGAGGCGGGGAAGGCCTTTGCCCTCCTGCAGGTGCGCGGACGTGCCAGCAGCCGGGGACTTGGCGCGCTTTGGCAGCGCTGCTCGTGGCCATGCTCCCCGCTGGGGCAGGGTGCGCATCATGCGCTCGAGCCCGCGACTGGTGGGGGGCATCACCTGACCCTGGTGGGTGCACAGGCAGCTGCAGGGCTGGCATCGGGCATGCCTGCTCATTGCTCTGATTGTTGGATCCGATGTTCTATCCTCTGAAGTAGAGGGCGTTAGTCGACGACAGCATGGGAGGGCTGAAACATGCCCCACAGCCCTGGAGGCTGTCAATGGGTCGGGGCCTCATGCCTGGTTTGGCACCATGCAGGAGACGGCTATCTGCTTCGGCCTATGTTGGCCGCAGCTTGATGGTTTCTGCAACATGAGCCTTGCAAGGACAAAGACTTGTGTGACTGTGTTACATGCACGCTTTTTGACTTGCAACGTTGTGCGCTGCTGCAAACAAGGGGGGGGTACCAGCGGTCGGCGCCCACAAAGGGCAGCATACAGCAGCAATTGCTTGTATAGCAATCAAGCAACTGCTGCTGAAGCAAAATCAAAAAACAGGTTGGCACAACGCACAGCAGCCGGGGCCAGTACCGTTGACGTGCTGCTATGTCGTACACACCAGACTGCCACAAACGACCATTCATGCAGGGTGCTTGTTGGGGATCGGGTTGCAAGGTCAGGGGTTTGAGGGGCTGTTGCTGCCCTGGAGCATTAATTGGTGTGTGTGGGAGGAGTGTGACCACGGTCATGTGGCGCGTGCTTCCTGCATAATGGGGTTTTGGTTGAACAATGGGACATGATCGTGGCAACAAAAAAAGGGAGGAAAGAGGCCTGCTGAATAAAGCTGTGTTTGAGGCTTGCCTGTGGTGAAGAAAAGCCATCACATTGAAAAGCCAAGGATGACGGGGCGCCTCGCAGGGCATGCACTGACAGGGTGTGCCCATTGGCCAAGACTCGCAAAAGCTCTGGGGCTCAAACCCTTGGCACATTAATCGACGTGTGCTGTATTTTACGCATACACTCTTGCTATTGGTATCACTTCACACTGCCCTCTCGTGCTTGGTGGTCTCTTACGCCCTGCTGGGCCAGCTGCGCTTGCTGGAAAAAACTCTGAAAGCCACCGCCGCCAGCATGGGGTCAGATTGCAGGGCCTTCGCCCTCAGTCCTCCCGGCCCTCGAAGACCGTCTGGAGTGCCTTGATGCGCGGCTCCAAGGCAGGCTCTGGGAACAGGGCGCGCGCAACGAGCAGGCTGGCGCGGTCGCAGAGCGCCACCCAGGGCAGGACCGTCACCGAGCCGGCCTCGAGCAGGGGGGAGCTGCGGTGCGGGAACAGCAGCAGCTTCCCAAAGGGCTGTGTCAGCAGGGGGTGCACGCGCAGCAGCGGGCGGCCCCAGAGCACGACCACCGCCAGCGCGATGAGGGCCACCTGTGAGAGTGGTGTGGGCGACGGCGGCGAAGCTGGTGAGTTTGATGCAGCAGCTCAAACGACTGCATGGCCCGGTGTGCGCCTGCAGCCAGCACGCGCCACCTGGTCTGCAGGTGGTCGCATGCAGCCCCAAGCATGCCGCAGCTTCGTCCTGGTGAGCACCTCGCAACCACCCTCACCCTTGCGGCGCCGATCAAAGCGCTGGCGCGGGCGTGTGCGCCGCCGCTGCCTTCATCGCATGTGCCGTGCTGCTGCAGCAGTGACAGCTCGTGCTCCTTTGCCGTGGCCAGGCGATGCACCTTGGCGCGCTTGGGATGGCTGCCGGGTCCGCTCAAGCGCTCGGCCTGGCGCCGCAGCGCCTTAATCTCGCAAACGAGGCGAGCCCTGTGCTGCTGCAGGAAGCCGGACTGCGGCGTGAAGGGCGGCAAGGCGAAGACATCAGCAGCTGTAAACATGTGCAGTAGGAGGACGGCACCAAGAGGTGGGCGGTCCGGTTGCGCTGACGTGTCCTGCAATCGTGCAGGGTGGAACGCGCATGGAGAAGCGGCCCGCCGCTTGCCGCACTAGGGGCACACCTGGCTTCGCTGGTGGATGCACCAGCGCGCAAAATTCAAGGATGCCATCACAAAGAATATTACGGCGCTCGGCTCCATCTTCACTGGCTCCCGCGCAAACCCGAGACGTGATTTGAAACCTGCGGACCTTGGTCTTGAGAGACTATGAGCTCAAAATCAAGGTACTTGCGACTATTATTTGTTGTTTGGCGTGCAACACGACATCAGCGGCAAGACAAGCAGTCCCACCTCTTCATTTGGGCGCACCCCAAAGCGCGCAACGAAGAGCGGTCACCGGTCTGCATCACAGCTGGCGACAAACACTAGGCCGAGCAGGTGCCCCTGGGGGAAGGCAGGTGCACAAGCGCATGCACTTGACGACTTTTGATGCGCGTTCAAAGGCGCGGGCTTGAGCGGGTGATGACTGCTAAAAATCTTCGATGGTCACTGCTCGAGTTGCAACCAGTCGCTACACGCAGCCACAGTAGTGCCTCCGGGCTATTTTGAAGGTTATCATAGTGCGTGCGTTTCATTGGATTTTGAACCATCAACACCAGGGGCGTTGCACCAACAAGAGGGTATTGCAGTCCACCTGAGGTCGATCGATACTGACATCATGGGCGTACTGTATTCTTTTCGAATCCATAGGCACATCTGCCGCAGTGCTGTGTGTGTGTGCTCAGCCAACAGAAGGCAGCTTCAAACATGCGTGTGCGAATTGTTCTGGGCAACACGCTCAACGCCATTGAGCAGCACCGTCTTGCATGTTGTCGCGCATTGCTCCTTACTTCTCGATATCCGTGCGCCATGTTCTGCACAACAAAATCAGCGAAGGTTTTGATGAGCAATCTCTCCGATAGTTTGAAGCTGTATGGGGCTGGGTAGCACCAGTGAGTGACGACGTAGTCTGCCACTGTAGCGTCGCCCCCTCGAATGTTATGTCACAGCATCACAATTGAATGCTCTCCAGTGTCTTTGTATCATTAGCGCTGCAGGTTTCGCCCTTGCTGGAAGCACGATCTCGATCAATTTTTTTTTATACAAGCCGCACGCTGCGCGCGCGCACCCTGATGAGAAGCGCGGTTGCATCTACATGCAGAGCTCTGACGGCTCGTGGCTGGACCTCATTGCAGCTGCAAGCGGTGGCGTCCGCGGCGCTGAGGTGGGCGCACGTGCGAGCGCGATGCACGCCGCTGCCCCCACATGCCAGCAGATCTCATGCGCAATCGCGTGCGCTCGCAGGTCACTCAGCTACATACCTGAGCCGGACGACACCCCGCTATACTCTGAGCAGCTGGTGGCGCCCAACCGCGTAAAGAAGATCGAGGTGCTACAGCTGGACAACTTGGTGCGGCAGCACAGCCTCCCGCGGCTCGTCGACTCAGCAGCGGTGAGCGGCGCTCGTATCGACACACGCTCGCCCGGCGCCGACAGTTCCAGCCTGCGGCCCCACTGGCTCGGATTGGCTGGCTGGCATGGCTTCGCCGCTGCGCCGTAGCCTGCGTCGCGCGTCCGTTGCTCGTTCCAGCCCCCTGCAGTGGCTGCCTGCTGCGCCCCACACGCCGCGCCCCGCGCGCCCCGACCCCTCCCCTGCCGCCTCGACATGCAGTTCCTGACCTCTCAGCTGCCTGCCCGCCTGGAGAACCACATCAGTCGGTTGGAGGCGCTGCTGCCCACCTGCTCGTCCGAGGCGCTCGCCGATCTGATCTCGAGCAGCGCGGCGTCCAAGGCGAGCGTGCTGGACTGCTCGCGCGACTGGGCGCTGCTGCAGGTGCAGGATCTCAAGGGGCTCGAGCATTTCGAGAGCCACCTGTCCGGCTTCCGCGAGCGCGTGGAGGGGGAGATGGCCCGGCTGATGGGGGGCGCGCAGCGGCTGGCGGAGACGGCGGGGTGGTGGGGGCGGGAGAAGGACGTGCACACACTGAACGCCGCACTGGACCTGACACACTGGTGCGAGGGTCAAAAAGGGTTCGAGAGATTTCTAGGGGTTTGGGCGGCCAGAGGGACCGAGACCAAGCAGGAGATGGCGGGGTGGGGGCGTGCCGGCGAGCAGGGGGCTTTCTGAAGCAGCTGGGCCTGAGCGTTGTCGCGTCCTGCCTCTTCGCCTCCCGTCCACGATTCGCCTCGATCCCACACCCCGCAGGTACGTGCTCGGCCTGCGGCTCATGCTGACTCAGCACTCAGCCGCGCTCAACGCCCTCAGCAGCAGCAAAGGCGGCGGCGCCCGCCCCCCCCTCCACGCGCCCCCTCACGCGGCCGCCGCGCCCCACCCTGGTGCGGGACCCCTCGTCGGCGGCGCCGCGCCGGCGGCAGGCATGATCTCGCGCAGCGCGTCGCCGCGGCGGCTGCTGCAGGAGCTGTCGGAAGACGTGAGGGCGTTCTGCGTGGAGAAGAACAGCGCGGCGCCGGACATCGAGGTCGTGGGCGGGGAGGAGGTGGAGCTGCCGCTGGTGGTGCCCTACGCAAGCTTCTTGTTCACAGAAGTCCTGAAGAACGCGGCACAGGCGAGAGTTGGGGCATGGGGTTGGGGCCGGGGATGACCCAGGGCGCGGGCGCCGCTGCGCCAGCCGGCAGCCCGGCGGCAGTCTGTTGGCTGCGGACGCCCGCCTGCTCGACCCATGCCAGGGTTTCCGGGGTTCATAAGCGGTGTCATGAGCCGCGGCAAGCGCCGCGCTGTGCACCGTGGCGCTTCCTTGACGCTTTGCATGCGGCGCCCGTGGTCGGGCCCCTCCCCTCGGCCCCTTGACCCCAGGCGCTGGTCACGCGCTACGGCGCGTGGGACGTGGACGAGGCGGACCCAGTCAAGGTGGTGATCTCAGAGCCCGAGGGCGACGACGACCACGTACTCATCTCCATCACAGACCGCGGCCTGGGCGTGCCCTCGGACCACTTCTCCCACATCTTCGACTGGTTCTGGAGCTCAGCGGGGAAGCCCCTCATGTGAGTTGACTGTGAAAGGCTGGGATGTGCTTGCGTTGCTTTGCTCGCAGGCATGCGCCTCTGGCACGGGGCAGCCCGGTGCGCCGGAACTGCAGCGGGTGGATGGGCGAGGGAGGGGAGCATGGGGCCGGCGGAACCCAGCGGTGAGCGCTTCGCTTGAAGTGTGCCTCGTGTGTCTGGGTCAAGTGCGCAGGTGCTGCGTTCCTGACGCCCTGGTCGCATGACGTCACCCTCCCATCCCCCCGCCCGCGCCGTCCCCACGCCTCTTGAGCGCAGCGGCTACGGCTACTCGCGCAGCCACGGCAGCCAGATGCACGGCCTGGGTGCGGGCGTGCCCGTGTCCCGCGTCATCGCCCACTTCATGGGGGGCAGCGCGCACTGGGAGACCTCGCTAACCAAGCTGCACACAACAGTGGAGATCCGCCTCCCCAAGCACGGCTTTGTGTTCTAGGCTGGCGGTCGGCCGCATGGATCTTAGTGCTGGATCGTAGTGTATGGGTTTTGGGCTTGTAAGATAGGCAAGGCTGTTGGTCATCGTTCCTGGCCGGCGGGCTCTGTACTGGTACTGCATGGGTTACGCGGAGCGGCGGTATCTGCCTCGCTGCTACAACCAATTTTGACTAACGCAAAACTCGTTTCCTTCCAGCATCTCTTCTAGACGGTGGTTGTCGCAGTTTTTGGTGGCTGTCCATTTGTCCATATTCACATGGAACACCACCACAAACACGCGCGTTTTGTGGCATCATTTGATGATTGCAATCCTGTAACGGCTTGTGTGTATGGCCCTCATGTCTATATGAGGCGTGGCGCCATGCTTGCCGCAGCAACCCACGCCATTAAGGCGCGGTCCAGTCGGCTCCGGCTGCAGTGGGCAGTCGCCAGCCCCCAATTTCCGTCGATGCGCAGCACAGCAGCACCCAAGGAGGTTGGCAGAACCGGCATGCCCCTCAATCGCTCCCGCATGCGCCGCTCCAGGCATGCGCGAAGCGCCGCCCTCAAACGCGTCCATCGGCCCCAGGCCTGCAGCACCCGCGACAGCACAAGCGCCTGGATAGCTGCAGCAGCATCGGCGGCGCGCCGCTGCTGCAGGAGGCGCCTGCGGCACAAGAAGCCGCGGGCGCAAGCCTGGATCACGCAGGCTGCGTGTTGCCGCTGCCGCCGCCACGCCGCTATCGGGTGGAGCGCTCCAGAGGGGAGGCGGCCGCGCTGACAGCGGTCTGTGTCGCTGCACCGCTCGTCGTCAGAGCTGGAACGCCGAAAGCGCAGCCTCTGGCGCCGTTCAGCACCTGAGGTCAGTAGCGTCCCGCCTCTGACTTCTATTGCCTGCTTGTGAAGCAGCGCACTGGTGTCGCATTGCAGCTGCTGCTGCTGCTGCTGCTGCTGCTGCTGCTGGTTGCGGCTGAGCAAGCACAGGATGCGCTGCTTGCGCGCCAGCACCCCATCCAGTGCGCTAGTAATGCCCGATGTTGGTGTCTCAGTTGCAAACATGGTCTGAAGGGGCTGCATTCCAGGCCGGACTTGGTTTCCAGGCACCCTGGGGACATCCCTGCGCTCCCCCTCGAAGGCGTGCAGCAGTGCCTCGAGATGACACGCCTGTAATATGTGCAGAGGCCTCAGGATGAGAGATGTGGCTTCTCCTGAGAAAATGAGCGCACCCTGCAGTGCCGTACCTGCTGATTCAGCCTTTCTAGCAGGCCAACGCCGCTGGTCTGCATCGGCGCGCCGATTTCACACGTTGACCAAGGCTTGCTCGTGTGCGCACACACCATGTATGATCGGCCCGCTTTGTTTCACGGCTGGAGATGATGATAGATGCGTTTTTCTTGTGGTACGTGCACACTGGTGACGTAAATCGACCGTGGTGAAGGAAGGCACGTCGCCTTGTCGATCTCAGATCGACATATCGTAGCGTAGGTCAGGCTGACCTACGCTACGATAGACTATTATGTCACCTGCCGTATCACACTCAATCCTTCGGCTACGGTACATTAGAAAGGTGCAACTTGGCACCGAGTGCAAGCCACCCCCCGCACCCGGCGCAGATGGCCCCCAGCTTTGCGCATTGTGCTGACGCAGGCGAGCCCCAGCAGCGTGCCATCATTTGCGCCCTGCTTGCCGCAACTTATCAATCCCTGAGCCTGTCCAGCCACCGGTGCGCGGCGGTGACTTAGGGGCCACCAGCAGGTGCGCGAGGCACAGCACACGCCCTGTTGTGCTGCTGTGTGTGAAGCTGCATGGGTTGCTGGGCCCTTGAGAGGCCAGCAAAGGCAAAGGTCAGCACACTCCCCGCTGCCTCATGGTCGCCCCACACCCAAAGAAATATTTGTCCAGGCGCGTACGCCTGTGCCTTGATGCGCACCTGCGGGAGGGCGGCGCCCGGCTGCCGGCTTGTTGGGGAGACAAGTCGCGGTCAACCTCGTGAGTGGCAGGGGCACACCATGCGGCGTCGTCGCAGTGCAGCTCGGGAACGCGCCTGGTTGACTGGATGCCGACACAACACACAATTGCTTAAACGCGTGAGCAGCGCAGGGGCATGTGGCTGTACTTTGGTCGCCATTCATGAGGGAGAAGTGCAGCATCCCTCAACGGGGCTTGGTGCTGCACAATCAAGTGGTCTGATATGTTTGGACAGGATGAAGCATCAAATGACCTGTTGTGGGTAATTCAGTTGTGCTACCCTTGTTTTTATTCTGTCATATACTGTACCGCTGTCACTGCAAACATTGGGTCAAGATCAGTGTGCATGAGGATGCCAGCTAGCCTGTCTGGCAGTTGGCTTTGTTGACCGTGCTTCCTGTTTTACAGGTTTGCCATGCTCTTTTCCGGGAGGCTGTGCCAGGAGGTGTGCACCTCCTCTAGTATGCATGCTTGTAACGCATGAGTAAGTGTGCATGTCGTTGCCGCTGATGGGTGGGTGCATTGATGGGTCGGTGATCGGCGTTATGGGTGCAATCTTATTGCTTTCATTGTACCACAACTGTTCCCCGCTGATCCGTTTCATTGTTGGGATGCACAAAACACCTGGCCCTAGCGACTCTTCACAGACAGGTAGCCACTTCCAGCCTGGTCAAACCGCGGCACAGCCGCACGCCAGCAAATATGAGCAAGATTGGCACTTGTGGCAGTGACGACGTCGGCACCAGACATACATGTATTACTGTCTTTCATTGAAACAGAACGGCAAGCACTGTGGGCCCGGGTCGACGAGGGACAATGAAGTCTGGCACGGTCAGGAATCAACACGCATGACAAGCCACTGCAAGAGCACACACAACACCTGATCGTGTTCAAAGCAGTTTTAGGTGCAATGTTTGTATGCGCATCACAGTTGCTGCACGCGTGAAATTAATGTAGGGGTGTCAGATGAAGAGTACCCCGGCAGCATGACACCGACGAAGCCGCTTGCCGTGAGCCCGTCTCAGGCGCATGCGTGCACGCTTGATGTAGATGCATGTTGAAAGGTGAAAGTAGACAGTGCTACGGGTGGGGAACATCGCCAGACACAGGCACGGCGAATGAGCCGCTGCATCAAGCTACCAAGTTGGATGAGACGAGTGTGACACAAGTCACTCGAGTGTGACCTTGGTGCCCTCGGTGAACTTTGAGCCCAGCTCAGACAGCTTAAGGTGCGACTCGACGTAATCCTGCAAACAAGGAGCAGAGGTGGGTGGGTAGGGGTCACACGGGTGCGGGGCCAGAGGGTCGCAGATGCCCGGCAAGGAGAAGCGCAGCTGCTAAAGAGCGCCCACTTAGCCCACTCGGATGTACACAAACACACAAATACATACATATGCGCATGCGTACGTGTGAACGCGCATACGAGCATACACACAAAGAAGCACAGGGCCAAAGGCTACATACACGTGCAAGCGCATGCGTCAATGCACGCGCCTGGAAGTCCGAAAGACTCATAGTGCGATCCCCCTCCCCCTCACCTTGAAGAATGCATCCTGGTCCTCAGCGTACTTCTCAGCGTACTGCCTGCCAACGCACGGTGTGGTGTGTGCGTGTGGAAGGAAGAGGGACAGTCAGTGCATCCACGGTTGAACAGTCAAGCCGAGATGGGCGTGCTGGCGGCCCCATCAAAAGGCGGCCTGATCACCCATCAGACAGGCCCTCCCCACGCCTGACAGGAGCGCGCCGGTCGCCCCGCGGCCGGGCACGAAAATGCCCAGCGCACTTCGCAACAAGCGCGGCATGACCGCGGCCGCCCGCGCCGTCCGCCCTGCAATCAATTGGCAGCGATCGGGGGGACGAGCCGCCCACCTGAAGCCCTCGTCCTCAAACACGGCCGCGTCGGTCGGCAGGATCAGCAGGTCTGCGTCACGCTTGGCCTTCACCTCTGAGCGGGTTGCACAATGCGCGGCGGCAGCGTGAGCGGCGGCGGCAGGTCAAAGAGCGGGCGGCGGCGCTGCGCTCACGGCCCAAGCTCATCCATGGCATCTGGAGCAGCTCGTAATAACAGAACATGTTGTCGCACCACCAGTCCCTTAGCTTCCCAAACCCTCACTCGTGCATGCCCACGCAGCATGCATGCACAGGAGCCCGCCCGCGTGTGCCCCCCTTACCGACAAAGTAGGAGTTGTCAAAGGTGAGCCAGTTGGCGGTCCAGGACTGGCCGCCGGGGGCGCTGCCCGGTGGGTTGTTGGGCGCCGTGGTGTACTTCGTCTCCTCCTTGCCCCAGCCGGAGCGCTCGGGGCGCGAGCGGCCGAGGGTGTGGGCGCCGGACAGGGCCACAATGTCCTTGTCGTTCAGGCCCTATGGGATTGGGGAATGCAGAGGTTTTGAGGTTGCCTGCAGGGTTGGCTTTGGAGAGGGCTTTGGATGCAGGGAGTGGTTTCAAGGTGAGGGTGGGTGAAGGTGCTTATGGGGACTTGGGAGGTGTGGGCTCGAGGCTGCGACAGGGACGTGTGGCGGGGCTGAGAGCGCCAAGGCCAGATTGTGGGGACGTGGCGTGGGGCGTGCGGTGAGGCCCCGAGGTGGGGCCCTGTCGAGGTGGCGACCCTAGGTGGGTCGAGGGGCTCAAAGTGAGGCCTGAGGGGCCCACCATGCGGTAGAAGATCTTGCGCAGGTGGTCGGCGGGCGTCTTGCTGCCGTCGCTGAAGGGGTGCCCCGCCGACGGCAGGCGGCCTGGGAGGCGGGTGGCGGGGCAGGTGGGTGGTGCGCGGCAGAGGAGGTTCAGGGGGGGGGCTCATTGAAGCTTTTGCTCCACTCGCAAGACTTGGGTCAGACCGTAGCCCTGCAATGGGGCGGCAGCCTGGCATAAACAACTTGTTGGATGCCAGCCCCCTGTGCCCGCTATTCCCCGTGCTGTAAACAGTTCCTCCCTTTGCCACACCCGATTCGGCCTGGCCTGCGGCCGACCACCCCTCGCCGGACAGGCCAACAAGCAGCCACGCCCTCAGGCGCCCCCCGCCTTCCCCCAGGCCGGCCAGGCGGCCCCCGCCCACGCGCGATGCCCCCGGGCTCCCCACCCTCGGGCGCGCAGTCCTCCGGGCTCTCCACGTCCACGCGGCCGTAGCGCAGCGGGATGGCGGGGCCGCCCGCAATCTCGACGCCGATGGCGCTGGCCATCTGGTACAGGTCAGCGTACGACACCTGGCGGCACAAGCGGCGAAGCGGGGATCAAGTGTCAGCACGTGCAAGTTGTGTGCAGGGGGTGGGGCCAAGGTGGAGGGTTGCGCAGGGTGCAGGTGATGGGCAGCGCGAGCGGCGCTGATGTGATGTGTGCCAGGAGCCATGGCGAAGGTGGGTGGGGGGTTGCATATGCTGCCGGCTTTTGTGTGGGCATTTGCGTTCGTACGTGTGGCTCATGCATGTGTGTGTGTGTGTGTGTGTGTGTTTGCTCACCAGGGGGTACTTCTGCTTGACGGGCTCCACCAGGTCCAGGGCCGCCTGCAGGCCTGGAAGACACAGGAGCGCGGGGGACGGGGCGGTGGGCATATGGGTGTTCGAAAACGGGCTGTGAGGGATTGAAGGAGGCATCGGCGAGCCGGGCTCGGCCGCAGCTGGCGGCGCGCTGACCTGCTGCGGGCGGCGGCGGTAGCACAAGGCTGAGCGTCAGGTGCGGGCAAGGGGGCGTGCGGGCACTCACCGGCGTTGGCGCCGTGGCCGATCTCCGGGTTGAAGCGGATGGAGGCGGTCGCGCCGCCAGGCTTGGGCCAGGCCTGCTTGATGTTCTCGTCAAAGGTCCCGCTGCAGGGGGGGGGTGAGCGGGGTGGGGTGAGTGGGGTGTTGCGCGAGGGGGGCTGGTCGGGCCGAGGGTGCGCCTGCGGGTCCATGAGATCGGGTGTTCTCAAAGGCAACGGGTGTTGCCCTCCCCTGGGTATCAAGGGTTGGACCCCGCGACCCCGTCCCAGACCCCGCGGGTGGCGCGCACCTGTCGTGCCACGCCAGCCTGATGAGGATGGGGTTGGCGTGTGTCGCGCGGATGAGGGCCTCCACGTCAGCGCGCGCCCCCTTCAGCTGCTGCTTCCATGAGTCGGTGTCGACCGCCTGTCACAGCATGAGGCGAGGGCGGCAGAGTGGTTGGGTGTCCCGTTGAGCAGAGGTGAGCAGGGGCCCGTGTTTGATATTAATAATCCAATCAGTGCACGAGCGGGTTGTGGCTGGGTGCTTGAGGTTGCAACTGTGGCCGGCCACGCTGGGCATCAAGGCGGGCGTGGCGGCGAGGGCCTCGCGAGGCGCAAGATGTAGAGTGGGAGCGCTGGCGAGAGCACACCGTAGTGGACGCTCGGGTTGCGACCACCCTCCTTCTGGTGGCATTGGGGGCAAGAGCGCGGCACTTGGAGTGTTGAACGGTGACAGATCGGTGCTGCATGATGCGTGTTGGTGGTCGTATAGTGATTGCAATGTGTGATGATCAGATCGATGTGAACGTATGCAATAAAATCGACGGGTGGTAAGTAAACGCACCAGAAGCAGCTGAAGCACCGGCACCCAAAGCTTTCGTCAACCCCAGGTGGTGTACGTTTGGAAGCAGCCAGATGCCTGCAAATAGGATCGAGTTGCTGCATCAAACGCGACCCGGTGTTTTGGCTCTTGCGACCCTGCTAATGAGGCGTCAGATCACCTTGAACAGGACGCATAGCCTTTGTGCAGTAATCAGGGCGTTGTGAACCTCCAAGCATAATTGTATCCCGATCATGGCTTTAGCGCTCCTGCAACCGGTGCTGAGGGTGATGGGGTGTAACGGGTCGTCAGCAGCAGCAGCAGCGGCACCAGCAGCAGCAGCTCTGCGCAGTGCGCTCGTGAGCAGCAGCAGTTCGCTTCACAGCTGGTGCGCCCCTGGGCCCTTAAGCTGCGACAACTTTGACACTATGCAGCAGCCAAGGCAGCAGCAGGAGAGCTTCGAGCAGCACCCACACGGCACCAGGCGCGGCAGCGTTGGTGGTAGCAATGGCGGCAGCTGGAGCGGGGGCGGCGGCGGGGTGCAGCTGCCGCCGGGAGGCTGGGGGCCGAGGGACCCAGCGGCATGCGGCCACCCAAAGGACAAGATATCCCTGCATCGCCGCGGCAATCGGCGGCGCATATACTACAAAAAGCCCCAGGGCCTGCTGGCGCACTGCAGGTGTGCACTGCCTGCAGCTCTGCCGCACGTGTATTGATTACGCACCGCAGCATGCTCGGCGGCCGTCATGCTGCCAAGGTATTACCATCGTCTGTATGGCAGATGTTTGCGGCGTCTCTGTCTGACTGGCCAGCGTCTACCTGCGGCTGCACCCCCCTTGAGTCCACGCGAGCACGGGGTCCTCCGCAGGCCCGCCTCTCAACCTTACCCTGGCCCGGCCAGGCCCTTGCCTGCCACCTGGCTCACGTCGTGACCCCCAGCGGCTGCGGCCCTGCTCCTTCGCATGCGCCCCCAGGTTTTGCCAGGCAGTGGGCAGCCCACACGACCACCTGCAGCGCAGTGAGCGCTGCACGGGGGGCTGCATGGAGGGCTCTGCGCAGGGAAGCTACCGGCCGGAGTACAAGCAGCCCTGCTAGCCTGCTGCAGCTGGAGGTGTTTTGCGGTGGTCAGCAGTGTAATAATATTGTGGTGTTAGTGGTGATGAAGGGGTTGAAGGGAGTATGTAGGCCGGGCAGCAACGGTCAGTTGAAAGGGCCCAGGATCCTTTGCAACATGTTCAGTGCTTCGATTTACGAACTCTGTGTGCAGCATGCAAGCCTTCTCGAGGGCTTCATGACGGCGTTGAGTGTCGAGGCATGAGCCTGTTTTTGGCTGGTAGGCGCTAGGTGTACCTCCCAAAGTGGCCTCGACGCAGAAGCGCCAATCTGCCAGCACTTTCCACGCATATTATCATGTGCAGGCGTGGGCATGATTGCTGGCGTGGTTACAAACGCTCTCATCTGGACCTCGTGATTCCTTGCTGGTGGGCATGCCGACTCAGTGAGTTGGGCGAAGCTGATCTTCGGTGGCCGCTCCTCCAGCAGCTGGTCCTACTTGCTGTGGTTGCCAACCCCTGGACCCTTGATGCCCCTGCCTGCTGTCTGATGCATACGGTTCGTTGCGTACAGCCTGCTATTTCATGCCCTGCCAGCCAGTCTACTGCCTTGTATTTGCGTTTGGGGGGAGGATGTTGAGTAAATTTTTTCTTGCCGCTTGCTGTCGGTTGTGCGCAAGTGAGAAGTGTCAAGAACGAGACAGAAGGGTCAATGTTCCAGTGACAAAACATGAACGTTTCATGAACTGTGGGCATCAGATGTCGTGCATGCACATCCCTGGGCTGGGGTGGTGGTGGCGTCACCAGGGGAGTCGTGCCCATGTCCACACCAAACCCCTGCATATACGTAGCTGCACCTAGCGCGTGCACTCTCAAATGTGAGATGTTGCTGCACGACCTCCTCCACGTCTTCAGCGACATGTTCGAGCGAATTTGCACTCACAGCCTGAAAGTTGATCTCACCTTCCTTTCGGCGACTTCGTTAGTCGCGTAACAGAATATCAGCTGCATTTCAACTCTCGCGCACGGCGCTGAGAGCAAGGAGGCCCGGCTGCAATTTTGCGAGTGCAGCCGTCGGCAGCAAACACTGCAGCAAGTGGATGGAGCGCTTGCTGCTGCGGCCGCTGTTGAGGCCCGCGTGGCTGCAGGTGAGCGTTGCATGTATGTGTGGCCAAAAATTCCTTGTTCTACACTATAATCTGCCCGACAAACTGACATGTGATGCGTTTTGTTGCTCATTTTACACCAGGCCCACCGCGGCCTCGCCTCAGCGGCCCTGCCAGCCGATGCGACCCCCGTCACCAGCGGTTCCAGCCCCGGGCAGCAACGGCAGCGGCAGCAGCAGCAGCAGCACGCAGACTCACAATCCGTCGCCGTCGGCCCCCACAAGCTGACGTGGCAGTGCGGGCAGCTCGCCAAGCTCGCGCACGGCTCCAGCCTCGCGCGGTACGGCGGGACGGTGGTGCTGAGCACAGTGGTGGTTGACCCGGCCCCGGTGCCGGATGCGGACGGCACCCAGCTGCAGGTGCGCCGCTGTGGCCGCCCCGCGAGCGCGCCCCGGCCCCACCCGCCCGCAACCTGCGCGGCGGCGAGCCCCGCGCCACGGCCGACGCGCGCGCTCCGAGCCTGGCCGCCTGCGCGCAGCACTGAGGCGATGGGGCGGGCCGGGCACTCTCTTGCACGCAGGTCGAGTTCCGGGAGCGTGCCTACGCGTTTGGCCGCGTGCCCACGCGCTCTGACCGCCGGGAGGCGGCTGCCAGCGACAGGGAGGTGCTGGCGGCGCGCGCGGTGGACCGCGCGCTGCGGCCGCTCTTCCCGCCCGGCCTGCTCTGCACAGTCCAGGTGGGCGGCGGCGGTGGCGGCGCAGCTTCTGAGATGGACCGCGGCCTTGCGGCGGCGGCGCGAGTGCACGTGGCAGCCGCCTCGCGCCGGCCGCACGGTCTGTCGGCTTCGCTGGTCGCTCGATCCCGCGCGTCCTTGCCGCACTGCCGGGATAAGAAGGCCTGGCAAGCTGCCAACCTGACCCTTGCGTCCGCCACCAACCCGCCTTTTCCCCTCCCCCCTGCCCCACCC